GGGTAGAGAGCCCGCAGTCATGGCCAGCCCCTTAAATTTCTGCTCAGACCCCACACAGTGGTTTGCCCTGTGGGTCCCGTCCGCCTGCCCCTGTCCTAAGATTCAGAGTGGATGCACTCTAAGAGGGGCCTCTCTCCACTTCCTCCCGCCCTGTTTGTTGTACTTGCTCACTGCTGCTCAGAATGAACTGCCCCTGCCAGGCTTTCTGTGGACCATGCTGCACAGCCTCGCGGCCTGGCCAGTCCTCGGCCCTTGAGGGCAGGACTCAGGCATGCACATATTCTGATCGGAAGCCCAATTTATGTTTCTATAAGGAAAAACCCAAACTTGGGTAAATACTCGTCGTGTTGATCAGTTTGACGACAGTATTGATGGCTGCCTCACCTTGGAGTGCTTTAGGCCTGTCGTTGATCCCACTCCTGCTGCTTCTGGGTCGTGCACCCCTGCAGGAACCTCTTTGTTGAAGCGCATTGACTGGACCTGGGGAGAACATCTGATTCCTGTGAGTGTTGCAGCTTGGGGCTCACATGTGTAGCAGGTGGCACCCTGCCCAGCACCCAGGGCTGGTGCTCACTGTTGGCACGGTGCAGTCTGTGGGGTGTGGTGAGGGCAACACCCAGACAGGAGCAGCGTGCGGCTGCTGCTTGCTCGGGCTGCTTTGCTCAGCTCCCGGTCATCGGCTGCAAACCTCAGACCGGAAAACTGCGTCCTGGCTGCCAGGAATCTGCAAGTCTGCTGGTTGGGAACTCAGCCCTGGTGTTTAGACTGCCTGGGCTTGATCCAGGCTTCAGCCATGGTGTTGCTGCGCGAGTTGCTCCTTATCTAACTCGGTTTTCTCCTCCATGGAACAGGCATGGTAGTATGACTGTCCCTGGGAAAAGTACATGAACTCATGCAGGCAGAGTCAGAATTCTCAAGGAAGGTTTTGTTGAGTTTTTTTGAGGCGGTGTTGCTCTTGACTGGTGGAATTTAAGCAGAGATTGCGTCTTGGTTTACGTGTGAATTACCACTGATTTATTAGCAGAATATCCACACCTCAAAGGAGTCAGCATGTTGAAAGAACAAAGGACAGCTTTGGGAATTTCGAAGATATCCAACTTTATATTCCTTCATTTGTTATCTTTCTCCAACAAAAGATTAGGATTCTAAAAACAAAGAAACAAAAACATAATTGTAATACATAGTATCATGATTCCGCTTAGATAAGCTGGGGGGACAGTGTCCTGGCTCAGCAGGCTGAGTTGCCGCTTACGACAGCGGCGTCCCCTGTCAGTGCCAGTGCGAGTCCCGTGCTCCGCTTCTCCTCCAGCTTCTGCTGTTGCGCCCGGGATGCCTAAGTCCCTGGGCTCCCGACAGCCCTGAGGGGGGATGCATGGGAGGTATACTGCCCCCCGGGCCCCACCATCACCGCCTTTCAGATACATTAAATAAATATTTTAAAATTTTCATTGTAATTTTTAAAAGCTCTATTTGAAAGAGTGCTGGGGTGGGGAGAGAGAGATCTTCTGTCAGTTGGTTTACTCCCCCAGTGGCTGCAACAAGAGCTGGGCCAAGCCACAGTTAGGATCCAGGAGTTTCATCTGGGTCTTTGGTGTGGAAAAAGGGTCCCAAGGACTTGGGGTTCCGTTAGCAAGGAGCTGGATTGGATGAGAGCAGCCGAAATGCCAAGAAGAACCCATAGGGGATGCTGGCACTGCAGGCAGTGGCTTGGGCTACCATGCTACAGTGCTGGCCCTATTATTATATAAGTGTGAGATTCTTTAATAACAAATGGGTTGAAATGACATTAATATAAAAACGAAACTGAAAACACCAACATGGTCGTGAGTTGGGTTAGGGCCGTCTCCGGTAACGGCATTTGTGCTGGCTCGGCTTGTTAGAGGTGTGGATCCCCTGTGGCTGCCGTCACCCCCCGGGCTCGGTTGCTTGCCAGGATGGAGAGCACTCCTCGGGCGGTGGTCAGATCTGGATGAGACACTGACTGGCCAAAAGCTGTATTCACGAATCGTTGTGTCCTCCCCTTGTTCCTGTCCTCTGTCGGTTACAGTTCAGCTCTAACTGTAAGCTCTGGTTTGTGTCACAACTCCAGGCTGCTCTGTTCTTTGTCCCTGGGGACACACTGACGTGGCTGTGGCAGTGAAGCAAATGTGGCCCACTGATGAGGACTCTTCGGGCAGGCCAGCTGTCCCGTGGGCGGGGCGCCACTGGTGAGGTCAGCTCCCGGGAAGCCCGCTGGAGCGCAGTCTAGATTGGACACGGTGGATCCAGTGGACCTGTGCCTTCCGAGCAGCCCTCACGCCACTTCTCCACAGCTGCCTGCCTGTAACAGTAGCTGGCCGGTTGCTCCCTGTGCTGTGGATGCGCAGCCAGCAGTGCTGTTGGAGCAGTGGGAGCGTAGGGATTTACGGATCTTGCAGTCTTTTTGGCTCTACCCGCTCCGCGACCACCACACATTTGCTCCTCCTGCCCTTTCCCCTGTGGTACTGCTCAGAATGCGGAAGTGAACGGGGCAGAGGGCGTGACCTCTCGGGCCCTAAGCTGAAGTGGGAGGAGGGTGTAGGAAGGATGCATTTGCAGACCAATCTTTCTTCACATGGCAGGTACCAAACTGAAGTGATGTTGGTGGGATGGCACAACGCGGAGGAGTCCCCGGGTTCTCCAGAGACGATGGGCTGGGACAGAGAAGGCTTGGCGGTGCAGGGACAGTGGTGTGTCCCTCCTGCTGTCCACACCCGCAGGGTGCCCCCCAGACACTGCCCTCCGTGTCCCGTCCTTGACCTTCACCCACCTCGTCCCATGGAGGCACCCTTGCTGCTCACGGGCTCTGCCCGGTCACTCTTTACATCATCAGAGGGCAAAAGCATTTTCCCTGTAACTGATTTCCTCAGCAGTTTACAGTAGAATGGCCTTTGCCCTACCAGAAGCACAGGCCTTCTCGTTCACTGCACGTGTACTCCTCCTTGACCCCATCAGTGACTTTGAACATTTGTACTCTCCATGGAGACAGCCCAAGCCCAAAGTATACAACCCCCAGCCTCTCCGAGTGTCACTGGCCACCAGAATTGGAGCGGAGTATGTAGGCTGTCTGGCAGCTTACTCTGAAACACAGCGCTGAGCCTAACAGGAAAGAGACCTCAAGGTTGGGCTGTGGGAGACCTGTGTAATCAGTCATCCCTGACAGTCACCTGTCACCTGTGGCGGGCTCGGGTATGCCAGTGGGTCCGTTCAGGCAGCAGGGGTCTACTGCCGCCATGAGTGCCAGTTTGTGTCCTGGCTACGCCATTTCCGACCCAGCTCCCTGATTGTGGTCTGGAAAAGCAGCAGAGGCTGGCTTAAAGCCTTGGGCCTCTGCACCTGTGTGGGAGACCCGGCGGAGGCTCCTGGATTCAGGTTGGCTCAGCTCCAGCCATTGGCAGTCATTTGGGTTTGAACAAGCAGATGGAAGATCTTTCTTTCTCTCCCTTCTGTGGTCTCAGCTGCCTTTCCAATTATTAAAAAAAAAAAAAAAGAAAAAGGCGTGGAAGTGCATCAGAAGTGCAGCAGCTGGGACATGAACCAGTGCCCATGCGGGATGCTGGTGCTGCAGGGGGAGGTTGGCATGCTACCCACGGCGGCCCCTGGCTTCTGGGCATAGGTTTTCGGAGATCTGAAGCGCTCATCGCTCTCAGATGTTTACACAAAGCTCAAGGCTCTTTTGTTTCTTTTCATTCTTGGCCTTTATAATATTGTTTATAATATTGTTTGATACAGGGTATTCTTGTTATGTATTAAATTATGTTATCATTAAGACAGTAATCATATATCACTTCTTACTGAAAATTCCTTTTGATCCTGATGGGGCTTTTGTAGGAAGAAGCAGGTGTGTGAGGAAAGCAGGCGTGGGGTCCTGGGAAGCCTGCTGAATCCCGACGCTTGGTCCTCGGCTTGGACCCCAGCTTGTCGCAGACACGTCCCTGGCACCCGTGTGGCTTGTCCTGCAGGCTGCTCACGAGGACAGGGACAGTCGCCTTGGACTGCCCGTCCGGGCACCCATTGTTACCGTTACCTGCACATTGGGGCCATTCTTCAATTCTTTGTTTGAATTGGGCTTTTAAAATTTCTTAGGCTATTTTTTAGAACCTCATTTTTAACAGTAGTTACAAATGTGCATTGTTCAGAAGGTTTTCTAAATTGAGAACAAAATGAAAATTAGCCTGGGTTGGCCTGGACAGAAACACTTAAGACGGGAGAGGTGGGAGTTCCACAGACCGTTCCAGGCTGTGCCACGTGTGTTCTCCATTAGCACGAAGGGTGTGTGTCAGAAGCCCCAGTGCGCCTTGCTCAGACGGCAGAGCCCGTGCCGGCGGTGTGACTGGCCTCTGGTGCTGCAGCCCTGATCCGGGCTTTCTTCCTGCCTCTTTGTTTCATGTAGCTTTTCACCTCCAGCCGTGCTCACAGTAGGTGCAAAGCTTTGGACCCATCCCTGTGTGTGTGGGGAAAACGGGTGTTTGTTGTGTAGGGATGTTACTGTCGTGGTCCCTGGTCTCAGCCCTGTGCCCTGCGGGGCCTGTGTGAGCCCCATGGCTCTGGCCTTGGGATGTTACTGTTGTGGTCCCTGGTCTCAGCCCTGTGCTCTGCCTTAGACTGCATCCTCTAGAACACTGGGCAGAGGGAATAATTGTCTGTAAAAGGTCAGGTGCAAGACACCTTGGAACATGATTGGCTGTCGCTGAACAGCAGGTGCCAGCAGGTAGTTGACATGCACTGTTTGGTCTCTCAGCTCCTTGCTTCACGATCATAGCACACAGAGGGAAAAGGAGCCATGGGAAGGAGGCCAAGGCCCAGGAATACACAGGTTGAGCTCTATGTGACAGTCTTAAGCTAAAGTTGCTTGATTTGTAGCTTCCAAACCTTTTTCCAGCTTGCATTCCAGTCTGTTAATGTAGAAGTCATTATATATGAAGTTTTGGATGTAATGTACCAGCATCTGTAAAGTGCTTGCTTTCTTTTTCAATTTTTAGATTTCACATATTGGCAAACTGAGAGATTTTCTTCTGGAACACAGGAAAGATTATATAAATGCTTATAGGTAAGTACTTATATTTTGCAATGTTCTTTTCCATCCGTGTCTTCCTTTAAGCTTTCAAAACCTCTTTGAAAGTTTGTTTATGAGAAAGGGAGCGAGCAGAAATGTGTGTCACATCTCAGATCACTGCCCTGGCTGGGCAGAAGCTGGAGCAGGCTCCGTCCAGGTCTCGCGCCTGGCTGCCAGGGCCCACCACCTCAGCCGTCGGCGCTGCCTCCAGGGCCTGCTTTCACAGCAAGCAGAGTCAAAACTCAAACCCAGGTGGACTTAGGGAGGACACAGACGTTGGGACCACCAGGCCAAGTTCGTGCCCCTCTCTTGAGCCTTTTGTCCTCACACTGGAGGTCATCGTGAGCCCCTGTGGGGACGGTCACGTGGGTGGTGGAAGAGCTGGAACGCACACCGGCGCCCGAGAGCTGGAGTGCGCTCCGAGTCCCCCAGCGCCGTCCATCACGGTGCACAGCCCAGACTTCAGCCTGTCTCTGTGTGCGCCATTACCTTCCGACAGGTGGACCAAAACCCCGGCTGCTAGCAGAGCAGGATGTGATGTTGAAGGCATTTGCATGTATGTCCTAAGCCATGCTGGAAACTTCTTAATGCTCTGCTTGGCTACCTTGGCCTCTGTCTCATCTTGCTGACTGATGAAGCTGCCGTTGCCATTTGGCAAAGTTGCCAGGAGCACACTGCAGTCCCTCAGCCTGGTGTCCTTGGCTCCGGGTTTCATTGCCGGGGCCCAGTCACCGGCTGTGATGGTCGTATGCCTCTTCTGGCCTTCTCACAGGTGTTGGACACTGGCTGCACGCAGTGACAAGCCCACTTGGGCTTAATTTCATTTTCCCTCCCCTGCCTTCCTTCCATGTCCCCCTCTCCCCTCTCTCTCTTTAATTTTTAAAGTTTTATCATTTTTCTGATGATTTTTACATAGTTTATTAGGTAGTAAGGGCCAAGGGCTACAGGAATGTGGGTGAGTCCATTATTTCCACATTCTCTTTTTTACCTTCCCGTTTCTGAGGGATTGGGGGAGAGAGGGGAGAAGCCACACCCAGCCTCCCAGATGCCTTTGCACCCTAGGATGGAGGACAGCCACCCAACACCACCACAGGGTCCCCGATGTGGGGCATGCTCTGAGGGTCCTGCTCATGAGGTTTTGATAATTCACCAGTTCTGAATTACTACTGGTCTCGTCACCCCAAGCACGATGAAATCTCTCCAGAATCCACTGATTGACATAGTCTACCTTAGAGTCTCCATTTGCCCAGGTATTCACTGCCAACTCTTGACTTGGGTAATTAATGGATTTGTTCTGTCCTCGGTCTTCTGCAGACTCCAGTGTACTGCCATGTCTTCCATGTGCACCTGGATATGCTGTCCACTATTCTAAGCCACTGAGGAGGCCCAGCTCTGACATATGCACTCCACGGTCAGACCATGGAACCTGCAATTTTCTCCATGATTGGGGTTCTGAGTCCAGCAATTCAGTTAGGGGAATACCCCAAGAAACTTAATCTGAGGTGATTCCAGACCTGATTCTTGTGTGGTGCTTGCCAATACAGGGTCCAGCACAGTCTATCACCCCAATCAGCACATGCTGGTGATTGCAATTGCTGGGTCAGTTCTGTCTCCAGCCCTGTCTTCTATACAAACCAATGGGTGCTGCAGCCCAGTCCAATCCTGCACACCACACACTTGGTCCTCACGCAAACCAGTGGAAACTAGTTGGAGCGACCCACAATGACCCCCACCAGGCCTGCCCCCTGCCCTGATTCCCATGCTTGCCAGTATGTACAGCAGACTGGTCCAGTTTGTCTCACATCCCATTCGGCTCTCATACATGTCAATAGGTATTGAAGCCTAGTTCAACCCAGCTAGCCCCATTATCCAGTCCATACATGTGCGAGTGGGTGTCACTGTCTCTCTAGTCTTGCCTGCCCCTAGTCCTGGTTCTCATGCTCACCAGACGGGGTGGCAATCCAAGAGGGAGGTGCCCGCTGTTTCTCTAATGGGCCCACTCCCACTCCAGGATCTTGTACTCTCCAGGTGGTTCTGCAGTTTGACTTGACAGTATTTGCCCCCTGCAAATAGGAACAGTCAGCCCAGCCTGGCTTTCCCCTGATCCAGCCCAAATGAGGCCAACAGGTGTTGTAGCTCTGTCCAGCCTGGTCTGCCCCCATTGCAACTCTCACACTCACCACTGGGAGTGGTGGTCCAGGAGGGGAGTCCCATGCAACCCCCTACAAGGTTCAGCCCTTCCCCCCAGGTCTCACATGGTGCTGGTTGGGTGCTGCAGCTTAGTGTGGCATGGCCTGCCTCACCTTGGCATTTGCCAGTGGTGTTGTAGCTGAACCAGGCCCAGCCCACCCCCAGTTTCAGCTAACGCTGGTGAGGGCTACAGCCTAGCCCAACCCAGGCGGGCTCAGTCTTAGTGCTCATGTGAACTGGCGTGTGTTGCAGCCCAACCTGTCCTGACCCACACCCCATTCTGGTGCTTGGATCTGCCAGCAGGTAGTATGAACTAGCCCAGCCTAATTCATCCCCAACCTGCGCCAGATGTATGCCAGTGGGTACCATAACCTGGCCTGAACAGGACTGTTCTCTTTCCCTTTCTTCTTTCGTGCACTCACCTGCAGGGGCTGTGTCCCTACAGAGGAGTTTCCCAAGCTCCTCCATCAGAACTTCTCCCAATGCCAAACAGATCACGTGCCCATTGGTGGGTCGGTGGGCCAGCCCTACTTAGTCCACCTCCTGTCCTAGCAGGAACAGTGGCCTTTCCTGACTGACCTTCACCCATTCCAGTTTTTGCTGTTGGGTGTTACAGCCCATCTGAGCCTGGTCCATACCCAGACACAGCTCACACATGGCTCACTAGGGGCAGAGACCTAGCCTAATCCGTCCTATACCCACCCTGGTTCTCACAAGCACCAACAGGTCCAGTCTGGTGCACCCCAGACCCAGGCCACACTTGTGCCAAGGGATACTGCAGCCATGTCCACACTAGACAGCAGCCTCTACTGTGGCCTTTGCACTCGCCAGTGGCGACCACAGTCCAGCCAGGATTTCCCCTTTTCTCCCCAACCAGGCCTTTTTCCAGCCATAGATCTTGGGTGTGCCAGTGGTTGCTCTGACCCAGATTGGCATAGTCCCTCCCCTGCCTTGGCCTTTGGCTTTGGATGCTGTAGCCTGGCCTAACCCAGACTGCCCCCAGTCCTAACTCTTGTTGGCAGGTGCTGGAACCTGGGCCTGCTCAGTCTGCTCCCATTCCTGACTCATGCAGACTGATAGGTATGACAGCCTAGCTTGGCATGACCTGTGCTCCAGCTTGATTTCTGTAGTTTCCAGTGAACTAAGGTTTGCTTGGCCTTGTTCAGCCCTGCCTGGTCCGTCCCCTTCCAAAACCAACCCGCACATTTGGTGACAGTTGGAGCTACCATGCCCAGACTGCCTGACCCTCAGGCCTGGACCACATGCTTAGCAGCCGAAGCTATGACCAACTAGGGGAATTTTCCAGGTTCCCCCACTCGGCCCACTCCCAGACCCAGATCTCACACATACCAGCGGGTGCTAGGCTCTTGTGCGGCATAGCCTGCTCCTCCATCTTGGCCTAGTATAAGCTGGTGAATGTTGCGGTGTGGCCCAGCCCACCCCACACCCTGTTTTAGAATGCACATAGGGTGCTGCAGCCTGGACCTTACCAGCTTAGTCTTAGTCCTTGTACTGGTGAGTGTTGGTAGATTCCATGGTCACGCCTAACTACAGACCACAGCCGTCTCATCCTACTCTGGCGGATCTATACACACCGGGGCTTCGCTGGTCTCACATGCACAACAGCAGAAGGCGTGGGCCCCGGGACTATATTGCCATACACAGAAGTCTAGATCACATGGAACCTGGTCTCTGATAGTGACGTGGTCGTACTGCCGTGGGCCGGTGCCTGACCCAGTACCCTAAACTGTTTCAAACTGGTCATATGTCAGGAACTAGGATCTATCCCTGCTAAACTGTCTCCCAACCCTAGCTTTCATATAGAATGGTATGTGGTGGTCAGCAGTATTCCATGCTAACAAGCCCAACTCAGGACTGCTGAGTGGGATGGTGCATCTGACCATCCGTACAGATCCATACAGATCTCCAGTTTCTTTCCTCCATCCTCAACATAGCGTCTCAGTCCCCGTCGGCTTACCTGGGGCAGGTACCGTGGTCCCTCTCATCGGGGGCCCCTCAGTGGATCTCAGGCCCTTACATACTCATTTAGTCTTATGGATGCCCCTATATGCCAGTGATATTCCTACACCCTCAGAGAACCCCAGCACTTCGATCATAATCTTAGGTGGCCATTGAGCGTTAAGTGCGCACATAGCTTGCCATGTAAGTGCAGGCGTCGAGCCACGTGCAGGTGCCCAAATTGTACGCTCTCACCGGCCCGCTATACAGCAGTGGACAAGGAGCTAGGATTCACCACAGAAGTCCAAAAAATATGGTCCTGGCATGCCACAGCCGATTTGGACCATGGAGGAATCCCAGTCCACCCACATCTCTGCCCAGACTTACCTGGACTCCCTCCCTATCCGAATCCGAAATCACGCAAGAACCATATCCCTACCTTAATCATTTCTCTTTGCGGGTTTTAGTCTCCCTTCCTTCCTTTCTTCTTTTTATTTATTTTTTATGGGTTAGTTATTAATTTAAAAGGCAAAGTGACAAAGAACAAGTGAAACAGAGAAAGATCTTCTGTCTGCTGTTTCTCTCCCTAAATGTCTGCAACAGCTGGGGTTGGGCCAGGCCAGCAGCAAGACCAGGAACACCATTTGTGGTCTCCCATGTGGGATGCAAGAACTGCAATACTCGGGCCATCAGCTGTTGCTTCCCAGGAGCGTTGACAGGAAGCTGGGTGGGAAGCAGAGTAGCCAGGACCCACACCTGTGCTCCCAGATAGGGTGGGGCATCCTGAACAGGAACTTAACCCACTACACGAGAGCACACGCCGTTGTGTAGGTCATGGTCACATTCCTCCTGGTGAGTAGGTCCAGTCTCCAGTCGGCACAGTCTTTAATTAAAAAAGAAAATCAGTCAGTGCTATAGAGAGAAGGAAGGAAAGAAACCTGGGCCCGACACAATAGCCTAGTTGGTGCCTTGCATCACTAGGATCCCATATGGGCTCCAGTTCGTGTCACAGCTGCTCCACTTCCCATCCAGCTCCCTGTTTGTGGCCTGGGAAAGCAGTCAAGGACAGTCCAGAGCCTTGGGCCCCTGCACCCATGTGGGAGACCCAGAAGAAGCTTCTGGATCCTGGGTTCAGATTAGCTCAGCTCCAGCAGTTGCGGACACTTAGAGAGTGAGCCAGTGATGAAGATCTTTCTGTCTCTCCTTCTATGAAGTCTGCCTTTCCAATAAAAATAAATAAAACTTAAAAAAAAAACTTTGCCAATATGTATAAAATGAAAATGTCTTACAAATTCAACAGAGAAAATGGTTATTCCCCCAGGTAGATTTGAAGTAATCCCTGGTGCTTTGTCTATATGAACTTAAGATAGTGCATTATACTTTAAAATTATGTCTCATTTGTAATATACTAAAAGTGTCTTTATGCATATTATTAATAACCTCTAAGGTTTCAGTTTAAATAGTTGACTAACACTAGATGGCAGTGTGAATTTTATTTCTAAAGATGTGTATATGTATCAAACACTAACTTAATAGGCTGCAAAAATGGACGTTACTGTCATTTTGAAAAACTTGACAAAAGCAGCATTAGTCTGTTCCTCTCCAGCTGCTTTCTTCACTGCCTGGCAGCTTAAGTGAGCGCTTCCCTGGCAGCCCGCTGCTGGCTTCATCTTGGAAAGCATCTGACAGAGGGAGGTGCAGGTTTGGATGCTGGCTTTGGTCATGTTGCCTCTTCCGGGCAGCACAGGGCTGTGAAGCCGGCTTCCTCTGCACTGGAGTGCAGCAAACAGCAGCCCATGCCCGTCAGCCAAGAATGATTTTTACATTTTTGTTTATTTTGAAAGGCATAGAGGGACAGACAGACAGAGCTTCCATTGCAGTTTTACGCCCCAGATGGCCATAAAAGGTTAGGGCTGGTTCAGACCCCAAAGCCAGGAACCAAGAACTGTAAGTCTCCCACATGAGTGAGAGGGGCTCAGGCCCTTGAGCCATCTTCCACTGCCTTTTCTCTGGCACATTGTCAGAGAGCTGGGCCAAAAGTGAAGCAGCCAGGGCTTGAACCAGCACTCCCATGTGGGAGGCAGGCACTGCGGGAGGCCGTCTCGCCTGATGTGCCACCACACCAATTCATGGCTTATGTTTTTTAATGGTTGGGAACAAAAAGTGGTAGAGTAATATTTTATTGTTACTGGTGATGGCTGCTCAGAGTTCTTGATTTTTTTACAAGAACTTGGATGTAAAACAGAAAGTAGTAATAAGTGTTAGCTTTTTTGTTTTACCCCACAAACCCAAGACGCCAGACACAGCAAGTGAGCCATACGAGAGACCTTTACTTCAGCGAGGGAGGGAGGTAGCGTGGTAGAGGCAGGAAGTGAGAGTGGAGCAAATAGAGCGAGCATGAGAAGAGAGAGAGAGCGAGCACCCCACCAGACAGGGCTGGAGAGCAGAGCAGTGACTGCCTGGGGTTGCAGGGCAGCCAGCAGGGTTCTTTTCCTCCTTCGTTTGCACATGGTGCATTTTCCACAAAAAGTTCTTATTTTCTTCAGCCCCTCATAAATAATCGGGCTAACTTCTAACTAGCTACCTTAACATTGTCATGGGTGAAAACTATGAAATTAGAATTTCTATAAACATAAAAGTTGTTATTTAAGTGAGTTTTCACTTCAATCGGATAGACAGAGGTAGAAGAAGCACTGGGTTCCCCCGAGTCCCGGGCCCGGCCAGGCCAAGCCAGCCCGCGACTCCTGTGCTCTCCTCCGGGGGGCATCCTGCTGCCTGCTGGGGTCCACGTCCGCACAGGATGCGGGACTTGAATCAGGCGCCCCACTGGAGTGCAGCTGACCCACGAGGGACCTCACTGCGCGACCGGACGCCTACCCCATGATGAAGTGTGGCTGGCACTCAACTGTACCGTTCCTTGGCGTGTTGTCTGGCTGCTGCTGCGCAACTGTGGAGTTGAGTAGCTGTGGTAGACTGCGAGCTTTGCAAAGGTTAAAGTATTTATAGCTGGCTCTTTTCAAGACAAGCTTGGGAGCTGATAATGGGAACAGAAATCACTTGCTAAGTGTGGGTAGGTTCGAAGGAGACGGTGTGCCTGAAGTGCAGCACAGAGAGGACAGTGGGAATGAGGTGCTGGACTGCAGTGTTGACCGTGGCAGGGATGTGGAGGCGGTTAGCTTCCAGCAGGAAGCTCAGCTCCCTCGCAGTTTTGTGGCAGTACGGCAGACCCAGGGCCTGAGCCTTCCCCCTTGCAGCCATGGGGACAGCTGAGGCTGAGCACCAGGATTCATGACCAGTCCTGCTGCTTGCTAGCTCTTGTGTGGCTAAGCGCATCCCTTGTCTTGGAACTTCTCTGGGCTCTTTGAGTGTCTGACCCACAGCCCGTGAGGCTTTCTTAGTCTAGACCAACTCATCACCTCATTCTAGAAACCTAGTCTTTGACTCATTTTCCTGGTGCCAGTTCACATGTTTTGAATTCCATTCTTGTTACTGAATGGCAGGCCTGCTTCTGTGTACCTGGCGTGTGAACGCGGCAGCCCCGCCCCTGCTGCTTCATTGTTTATTTTTAACTAGATGTGGACAGTGTTCTTGTGGTGAATCAGTGTGATGTACGTGAGCCGTCCTGCCGCTCAGCAGCCCCGTGCAGCGGGATAATCAAGTTGGGACCCTGTCTGACCTGTAGTGCTGTTGCAGGCAGAGCTTGGTGAATAAAGCAAAACCTAGCCCAGGTTCAGATGGCGCTGAGGCCGGTGGGCTGGCCTCGCTAAGCCCTGTGCTGCGTGAGACAGGCCCACTCAGCTGTTCGCACTGTGGAGTGAGCGTGGACGGCAGGACAGGCCCTGGACACAGCGCAGAGCCTCTGCTGCCTCTAGAGGCAGGTGTCCAGGGCAGTGGCCGGGGTGGCCAGAGGCAAGTCCAGCCTGGGCCCTGGTCCAAGGAGGCCCACTCCTCCTCAGGCTGGGTGTCAGTCAGCAGGAGACCAGGGTGTGAGCACCCCCAGTGCTGCGGGAAGGAGAAAGGCCACCTCTGCCCCCACTCCGGAGGTGAGGCTGGCAAAGCCTTTCCCTTCCTCCTTCCCATGCCGCATGCCGGGCTTGGCCCGCTCCTCAGACTGAGCGCCGTGGGTTTGAAAGATGTGCAGAAACACGGCCTGCCGCCTTCCTAGGCTTTCTTAACTTTGCGTAATTGGGAAGCTGGACTTTCTTCCAGAATGTGGAACGCAGACTTTATTGACCCATTTAATTCTCCTAATAATGACATTTTACTGGAGCAGAGCAGTGTGCAACCTAAGTAGCCACTGGCTGGATTTGGGGATGATTTTAATTAAAAATAACTTCCCTGCTCCTGGTAGAGGTGCCTTTTCAGTAATATCCTGCCAAGAAAACAGTAGCACTTGGAGAAAAAAATATCCTTGGGTTTCTGTTGTTGTTTTAAGAGAATAGTCACACTGTCAATTTCCAATTTAAAAGGTTAATATATAGATAAAATGTATCCTAGAGGAACCTCGCCTTCTGAGTAGTCAGTTTTATCAAATTAACTTTTAGACCTTTTCCACTTCACTGAGCTGATTTTCTATTAAATCCAAATACAGGGGAAGATGTTACTGGGCTGTCCTTGGCATTCGTCGTCCGTGGGCCTGCTCTGCACAGGTGCACATACACCGGGAGCGAGCACCTGGCTAGCTGGTGTGTCCCTGGCCTGCTGGGCGCCCTTCCCTCTGAGCTGGTTTCTAGTGGAGCTGCATGGAAGGCTTGTGACTCCCTCCCGTTCTTCCCCAGAGGGAGAGCCGCCCCGGGCTGCGAGCTGGGGAGGGGCTGAGGCCCTGGGCCCCTTGCTCGCCCCTTGCTTGCCCCTTGCTTGCCCCTTGGGTCTTCTGCTTCAGAAGAGAGCCCTGTGGTGGTTACCATATTGAGCCAGGTGAGTTCAGAGCGCGAGAACTGAGGAGTGCCAAGGTACAGAAATGACTTCTCGCTCTCCAGGCTTCAGAGATGGTCATCTGCTTCCTTCTGTCCTCCAACTGTTCCCTAGAAAGTGAGGCGTGCAATGGACTGGGGGCAGGGGCCCCCACAAGGAAGAAGAGGCTGCTCGTGTGCTGGGTGGCCCTGAGAAGCAGCCCAGCCCTGGTCACTTGCTTAGGGAATCCCTTTCTTGCTTTCACATCCCGCCCGGATTAGGTCGTGCTGTCCTTTACTGCTGCCCTCTGCTTTCCTTTATTTTTAGCCACATTCTGTCTGACTATGGAAGGATGACAGACACGGAGCGAGACCAGATAGACCAGGATGCCCAGATCTTCATGAGGACCTGCTCGGAAGCCATTCAGCAGCTCAGGGCGGAAGGTGAGTTGCTCCACTTGGAGAGTCTGATGAAGGCTCTGAACAGTCTTGCCAGGAAAACATACAAACCCACATTTGTGTGCCGTTCACAGAGCCCCGACCTCCCACAGGCATCTCAGGTTAAGCAGCACTACAGTAACAGTGCAAACCAACCCCTGCCCATTAAGGTCATATGCATTTCACTGAGATAAAAAGGCAATGCAGCGTGAACTCGCGTGTCCTTGAGCCACCTGCCAAGGTGTGATGATAGCTGCCATCGACTCACCAGCAGCATCCATGTGGAGTAGCAGCTGAGTTCTGCACACTGTAGCCACTCGGCTCCCAGCTGGCAGCTCTCTTGCTTTGGGGCAGGTGGGAGACAGGAAGTGTCTGCAGAGGAGACAGGCCCCAAGGCCAAGGAGTACTGGCAGGTGTTCTGGGGAGGAGAGCCTGACTGACGAAGGGGGGGTGCGGTAAACAGGCACTCCCAGCTGTGGCCTGTGCACACTCAGGCTGGCAGTGTGCTTTCCATCTGAGTCATGCATTTCTAGAAGGTCAGCTAGAGCCGAAAGGGCCGAGTCCACAGCAGGTCAGCACAGAAGTGGCTGCCTCCCACACCATCCCTACACACTGTGAGAAGCCGTAAGTTAGTTGACTCAAGTTTTTCCAAATCTCACTCTTTTAAAGTTGCTGTCTCACTAGACACATACTTGTTTGATAATGACATTTTACAGCCATCGGTAAGGGTGGCGAGCACTGAGTTCACCATTGGCCTTTTCTGTTGCAGCACACAAGGACGTGCACTCCCAGCAGGTGAAGGAGCACCGGACTGCCGTGCTGGACTTCGTCGATGACTACTTAAAAAGTATTGCATTTCCTCCGGAAGGCCACGGGGCATTGTGTGGGTGTGGTGGGCAGACAGCACTCGCAGGATGGCTCCGAGAGGCCACTGGGACCCGCGCAGCAGGCGGGACTCGTGGTGCGGCTTGCTAGCTGAGGCCAGGTGTCTCGCCATGACTTGTGATTCCTTTGCCTGTGAAGCCATTTTCAATGCTCTCTGTTTTTGGTCTTTTTTTCCACAACAGGAGTGTGTAAACTTTATTCAGAGCAGAGAGCCATCCGAGTTAAACGAGTGGTGGATAAGAAGAGATTGTAAGTACTGCCTCCTTGCTGATTCTGCATTCTTGACGCCACTGGTAATGACTTGGGCAGCTGCAGGTCACTGAGCCCTTCCACCAGGGCTGAGGGAATGCAGGCCTGTGTCAGGTCCACGCGATGGCCTGCCCTGGCCCTGACAAGGCAGTTGCAGGAGAGACTCGGGATCCAGTCAGTTGGTGGCAGGTTAATGTTGAAGCTGATCACTGAGTGAGGCCTGTAAATGGTGTTTTAAATGTCCAGATGGCCCCTGGTACAGGACTCTGCAGCCTGCTATGCCATGCCCTGCCCTGCGCCATCCTCGACCTTCTGCTGTCGTGAGCACGTGCCCAGTCTCTCACAGCTCAGGGCATGGTGCATCAGGAAGCAGGCGTGGCTTGGTTCTTCACTTTATCGACAGCGAGCCCAAGGTCACACTTTCCACAGCCCCAGAGCCTAGAGGCTGCTGACCTGGGGCTCCTGAAAGGCAGCAGGTGCCCAGCATCAGACTGCCTTCAGCCGCATTGTTGGCCCAGGGAGCCACTCTCCTTCGTCAGGTTGGGGGATCATTCCTACATCTCAAGTTCTCGCCGTCAGAGGCCAGCCGGGGCCTCCATGCAAGCAGGCCACTCAGGTTAACAGACCCCGGCCTGCTGTGTGAACTCTCCTCTGCTTACTTGGGAGACATTTGAAACCATAAATCCCAATAAGCAGAAGCATTTATGGAAGACAGGAAGGATATGGGTAGTGAGCTGTCCACAGAGACTGCGTGGTGCATGCCGCCCTGAGAGGGTCATTTGAGAGAAGCAGTGAAACGTGTGTTCTCCAGCTTAGAAGCAGGCCGGATTTCCACATGTACCTGGTAAGACAGCCAGATGAATGAGGGCAGGCGGTGGTCAGCGAGGCCAGCAGTGAGCTCAAAGGGGGACAGTCTCCAGTGGCCTGCCCCGGGGCAGCCCCTCAGATCTGCAGCCACGTGGCTGCGTTGGAAGCCTGCCTCTGCAGTCACAAGCCCGGGGCCTTGAGTCTGAGTGTCTTATGCTTTCATTTCCCTGCCTGTAGAACTGGGAGGTTTTAGCACCAACATGGTGGGGCTGTCGTGAGGACAAGTGAATCGACGTGTCAAATGTTCATAGAGGCTTGGTGAACGTTAACCTGTGCTGTTAGCCGCCAGCAAGCTTTGCTTTGTATGGGCAGTGTGTTCTTTAAGTTCGTCTAGTCCTCACCAGCACTTGACTCATAAATATGACTTTCCCATCTTATAAATGAGGGAATTGTGGCTTGGAACATCTGGGTTAGCTGCCTGGCGTCCTAGCCCCGCTGAGCTCTGCGCCTCAGGGTAATTGGGGCGCATTTCCCACTATGCTATGGAAAGGAGGAGGTTTGGGTGTTTTGGAGAGGCAGTCCAGGAGGGAGGAGGGGAGCAGAATGAGGCACAGGGAGACCTCTCCCCAGTGAGCCGTGCAGGAGGTGGTGGGCCTCTAGCCGTGCAACTGGCTGTGGTGGAGATGAGGAACCCACTTGATGGTCCCAGGCAGAGCCGTAACAGGTGCCCCCAGTACAGTAAGAAGCAGCTTTTGCTGCTGCCTCCTCAGTTCCTGGTTCTCCACGGAGGTTTTGACTCAAATACCTATTAAAACCAGCCATATGGGAGATGTTGTCATTTGTAGACAGTGAGGCACAGCCTTGTCTGCTGCCACAGGGCTGCGTGTGGCCGTCACCCTGAGCGGAAGCCCTGCCCCGGTACGTCTGTCCTCACCCTTGAGCAGAGCCATGTGCCACAAACACCCCCAGAGTGTGATGACTCCTCTGCTTCGCGTGTCTTCCGAATGCTTACCACGACTCAGCACTCAAGTCCCACATGGCGGGACCACAACCATTGTTCCTAGCCTGTCCACAATGCCCTACACCCAGGCCAAGCTGGACACAGCTACTGTTTGCTCTGACGAGTCCCAGCGCCTTAATCTGTGATCACTTTCCTGCCCAGAATGCCTTGGATTCCTGCTTCCCCTACTCCCCTCTCTGTCCGTCTGGTGAGCAAACTCCTGTCTGTCCTTCCTGCCCCAGCTGAAAAGCCACTGCTCTGTGGCCAGCCAGCATTTCGGTCAGTGTCACGGTTCTTCACTCCGCAGGCACCCTGCACGCTGCTGGGCACCACGGAGACAGTACCTCCCACTGGCTGCCACCGGCTTCCATGTATGCACCTAGCAGCCCGTGTGTAGACGGTCCCTGTCCTCCAGAGGAGCCATCAGGTGGGGTGGCTCATTGTCAGGCTGGGCTGTGGTTCCCTATTTTTGCATATTTTCTTTTGGTTGCTGATGATTGTGGTTAAAATAATTTTGTAAAATTGAATTGAGAAATCCAGGGCTCATGTTGTTACTTCTACATTTGTTTTGTTTGGGGTAAAAGAAAACCTATTGGTTAGCAAACTGTGGCCTGATTGTTTTGCCTGAACAGGAAAAAAAGATGCCTTATGCAAGAATATGTGTTCTTAGAATGATGACGATATATCAGTCATACCAAGGTGCCCCCTCTCTCCAGACTGGGTGAAATGCCTGGCTTTACTAAGCCAGAGTAGTCTTGACCAGCCTTCCTGCAGTGGCCCTGCCACCCTGGGTGTGCTCGGAGCAGTAATGCCATCAGTCATGGCACCATTTTCTCTGTCCTCCAGGCAGTAGGCAGGTCAGACCTGAATGGAGGGCGGCACCAACTGTCCCTTACCTGGGAGAGGTGGCCGGTGGGTCACTTTGCTCTTTCGTGTCCAGGAGATTGTGGCCCCTTTGAAGGCAGCCACACTGTGTCCTGTATCTCTCAGGCCCCAGTGCCTTGATGAAGACCCGTCCCAACCTGGGTGCTCAGTTGGACTTTTGAGCAAAGGAGCTGAACAGAACATGGATGCCGACTCCTGCTCACCAGCTCTGCAGAGTGAGCCCTCAGAACGGATGGGTGTAGGCCGGCCTCAGCGCCAGCACTGCCCGGTGTCCCTGTCATCCCGAGGTGGAGGAGGAGACACGTGCCTTCCCCTGAGCACCTGGAAGTGCTGATGGTTTGGTCATGATTTAAGTTGAAATAGCATCAGATGCCCTCTGCGTATACATGCAGTTTAAAACCATCTGAATTAATTTTCCCTTTCTGTAAAATAATCAGGCTATATACCATTGGGGTTTTTGTTTTTGTTTTTGTCTTTTTCTTCTTCTTGAGGAAGGTTTTAAGTCTGGAGATGTTCGTTTCTGACAGCATAAAAATACACTAGACAGAAGCTCAGGACAAACCCAGCTTAGCAACATTAGACCTTTCCCGCCGTTTACTGCCTGAGACTACCGTGAGTCATCTACTCCTGGTTAGACTTGCTTTTAAATTTACTGGGTTTTTACCCAACATTCAGATATGTCACTTTCATCGATGCAGTGATGTTCTTAGAAGGGAAAACCTTTTTAATTTTTTTTGATTGGTTGATTAATTTGAAAGAGAAACAAAGAACTTCTAATTTACTCCCCAAATGACTGCAGCAGCCAAGAGCAGAAACTCCAGCCAAAGCTTCCCATAGGAGCGGCTGGGAGCCAAGGGGTGGGGCCTGCAGATGCTGCCTTCCCAGGAGCTTTAGTAAGAAGCTGGGTTGGAAGCAGAGCAGCCAGGACTCCAGCTGGCTCAGACACAGGATGCTGGCAGCGGTGGACTAACCTGGCGCCCCACAGCACCAGCCCCAAGATGGGAAACTCTTGATCTCTCTGTCTGGAAGGAGATTTGGAAAGAGCACTACTTACCAGTCTGAAAGGTAATGGTCTCTTCTAACTTTGGGTAGATTCTAAAACCACCAAGTTGAAAATCTGGACATCTTAATAGCACCTTGTGAGTAAGTCAGCATAGGTGGAAGTTAGTGTTAACATATTCCACTGTAAATTCTAAAATATAGGTGAGCATTTTCTGAGATACTCTGAGGAGATCTTGTCAGCTCATATAAGGTTTACTGTGGATGTGATGTCCAGGGGCACGCACAGTGGAGAAGGTTTACTGTGGATGCGGTGTGCACGGGCACGCACAGTGGAGAAGGTTTACTGTGGATGTGGTGTCCACGGGCACAGTGGAGAAGGTTTACTGTGGATGCGGTGTCCACGGGCACGCACAGTGGAGAAGGTTTACTGTGGATGTGGTGTCCACGGGCACGCACAGTGGAGAAGGTTTACTGTGGATGTGGTGTCCACGGGCACGCACAGTGGAGAAGGTTTACTGTGGATGTGGTGTCCACGGGCACGCACAGTGGAGAAGGTTTACTGTGGATGTGGTGTCCACGGGCACAGTGGAGAAGGTTTACTGTGGATGTGGTGTCCACGGGCACGCACAGTGGAGAAGGTTTACTGTGGATGTGGTGTCCACGGGCACGCACAGTGGAGAAGGTTTACTGTGGATGTGGTGTCCACGGGCACGCACAGTGGAGAAGGTTTACTGTGGATGTGGTGTCCACGGGCACGCACAGTGGAGAAGGTTTACTGTGGATGTGGTGTCCACGGGCACAGTGGAGAAGGTTTACTGTGGATGCGGTGTCCATGGGCACGCACAGTGGAGAAGGTTTACTGTGGATGTGGTGTCCACGGGCACAGTGGAGAAGGTTTACTGTGGATGTGGTGTCCACGGGCACGCACAGTGGAGAAGGTTTACTGTGGATGCGGTGTCCACGGGCACAGTGGAGAAGGTTTACTGTGGATGTGGTGTCCACGGGCACGCACAGTGGAGAAGGTTTACTGTGGATGTGGTGTCCACGGGCACAGTGGAGAAGGTTTACTGTGGATGTGGTGTCCACGGGCACAGTGGAGAAGGTTTACTGTGAATGCGGTGTCCACGGGCACGCACAGTGGAGAAGGTTTACTGTGGATGCGGTGTCCACGGGCACAGTGGAGAAGGTTTACTGTGGATGTGGTGTCCACGGGCACGCACAGTGGAGAAGGTTTACTGTGGATGTGGTGTCCACGGGCACAGTGGAGAAGGTTTACTGTGGATGTGGTGTCCACGGGCACGCACAG